CCCCCCCCCCCCTGTGTGCTTCAATAAGAGATACTTTCGTAGAATAATAGTGTATAGTTAAAAAAAAAAAATGCACGTGCTACACGAAGCAAGTGTACGTACTAAACTATTTTGTACTCCACGCATCATTACCAGAAGATAGAAAGCTTTATTAACGATTATTCTTGTTTCTAATTACAGATTACTAACATGCTAAGCCGTCAAAATCGTCTGAATACCGGTAAGTTTAAAACATCGCAGATACACAATGTGCATGAGATGATTGTACATAATTGCGCGGATTTTCCGGTAACGGTGATTAGGAAAACAACGGTATGGCGAAGAAATAGGTTAGCTTGCGAGAAATTCATCATAATTCGAAGTATAGCGGACGTTCAAGCGGCGTTATGCTCGGCTCATTTCGCACGAACATAATTTTAATTTGAAAAAGGCAGTTTTTACAGCCGAGTAATTTGAACTGGCATGCATATAAAATAGTGTAACGGGCAGTGTTGTAAAAGATTCACAGAGACGATTATGTTGAGATAAAAATGACAATGCATCAAAGAAATGGATTGCATCCGCAAGAGACTAACCGTAACGGTCAAGTATCCTAGCAATTTTCTCGGCGCTGCCGACTTTCTAGAACGACGTTGATGCAAAACCGTTGAAACGAAACCGCACGTGTTTTATTCTAGCTTTAATTGCAAATATCTTCTTAGCTGTACTTTACGCTGACTATAACCATAGAAAAACGTAAAATATAGACGTTACCTATAAGGAGTTCTTGTTGTTCATCAGGGCAAGTATCGATGGAAAATAATATTACTTCTGATTACTCATTTTTGTCGGTCAAAGTGAACGGCTAACAAATTTTATCTTTAAGCGATACGTGTCAAACTCGAATATCGTAAAACATTATGGAACTTAGAATTATACCTAATTTATACTAATAAATCTTTAAACTGGTATAAATTGTGATGGATACCTGGAGGTTGGCAGCAATCAAGATTAAAAAGAAGATGAACTTAAGTGATTTTTACACAGACAGAAAAGGTCTTAAAATTATTTTTAAAATGTTACGTTACTTCCATTTCATTGAATTATTTAAATACAATAATAGATATTGCTATTACTCAAATAAAATAATTTGAAGATTTACTTTTTTTATATAAAGTCAATATAAAGTCAATACTTTTTTTTGTTTTTTAACATCGTCAAATGAAAAGAAAGGTTTTGCTACAGTATCTAAAAATTATATAGATCTGAAAATAATTTTATTTAATCATCCAAATTATGTAGAACATTTAAGTGTTGATGACAGTGCTGCAAAAAGTTTTAACATTTTAACAATCAGTTTGAACATTCTGTATAATTATTTGATATTAAATCATTTTCAGATTTAGCTAAATTTTTAGATACTTCAACAAAAAGCTATTGTTCTTTCCGTGTACAACTAAAAATAATAATAATACATGGACAGAATTGTCTCTTAAAATTTACCCTGAAAATATGGTAGCTGTATAAGACAATATTTTAAAGATTTTTACTATGCACTTCAATAAGATTAATCAAACTTATTATATATTGTATTGTAGTTTTATTAATGAATGAGAAAAATTTACATGAAATTCTTCGAAATACAATATTGTCTCAGGACTATCATATTTTCAAGGTAAACCTTTAAGGAAAAATTCTCTCCGTGTATTAAGACAGATGAATTGAAACATATAAATTGAATTTTGACATTTAGATATTATGTTACACATAAAAAAATATAAATTAATTTGTTATTCAAATTTAATTAATCACATGTTTATAAATCTTTTTGATTAATATGAACCGATCGTATCAATATAATTGATTAAATTATAAAACTTAGTTTTTATCATATCTCCTCGTGTTTTATCTTAATTTAAAGACAACGCAAAAATGTCGTAAACAAAATTTTCTTTCCTTACGCACGTATTTTCGTAAACCCTCTCTCTTTCACATTTCACCCCCATTATCCCTTCGGCATTATTCGATTACTTGCGAGAGACATTATTTATAACTTCTCTAAGAGGTAGTTCGCAAAGTACAACGCCATTATAAATTCACATTCACGTTCAAGCAGCCAGATCTCGGCGGTGGTTTGTCGCTGTGTTGTAGTTTCGGAAACGCACACTAAGAACGCGGCACTTTGCACACCGCGACACACCCTACGCCGTTAATTCGTTATTTTACTTCACCCTTTACGGCGGATAGGTACGATTTTCTCTGCAATTTATAGTAACCGATACCGTCGATGGCCATTCGTATTCGAGCCGACACTCTTCTTATCTCCTTTCTCTTTTGCGTTCTGCGTCCCTTCCTCGTCTTCTGCTTTTCAGACGAAAAAGAAATTCTCATCACGACGGTCTGGTGCGTATATCGATAGCATCATATACTGCATACGTTAATGGGCGAAAGCTTGTATAATGCGAATTTGCAGGTACTCCGATACTAAGATGAGATTTTGCTCAGTTTAAAAAAAATGTATCCTTCAAAGTGTGATTCGATTAAACTACCGATTGCGTTTCCTGTTCTAAGACTAAATCGTTATGATTAATATTTATACATCAATACAGTACAACTGTAAAGTTTTTAATCTCTTACAAAAGATACCGCAAATGTAGGCGACTTGAGACAGTGCGGGTAACTTGGGACAGAACGTACTTTAATCCATGTTAAATTTAATCCATGAGTTACTAAAGAAAATTTAAAATTTAAACTTTCTTTAGAGACTTATGAATAGATACCATGATTAAATTTAACAAAAATACATGCTGTCCCAAGTCATCTACATTTATGGTATTTGTCAAAATGTTATAATGTATAAATTTGTTTGAATTAATGTAATATAAGACTTTTACAAAAAAATTGAACAAATGATCTCAAGATTTTAATGCACGCAGAAACATGTGCATATAGTTCATTTGTTGAGATTAATGCATATTTGCTGTAAGACGGGTAGAAATTAATTAACCAACCAGCATTTACTATGAATTCCACGTTTAATATCGTAAGACGAGCAAAGAAATTACACCTCTCTTTTATATCGAATTAATTGATGCCGTTAAGTCATAGCCTTCGCGCTTCTCCTCTCTGAACTTTTACAATTCTACTGCGCGAGACGCGATGTTTTAAAGCATTTGAAGACGCTTTACTACCTTCACGATGTGCATGTCGCCACGTATTTCATTTTGTATAACTGTCAAGCATTCACATCGTTTTCGATTTTACGACTTAACGAGGAAACATTTGCAAGACCTCATCTGCGATTTTGATAAACTTTAGATATATCGTGGAATAATAATCCGAAAAATGCATTTTTGAAGGCTTGATTTACACAATGTTTTTTACTGAAAATTAATATGCTAGTCTCTTGGTAAATTAGAAAATTAGCATCTAAAGAATAAAATGAAAAAATAAAATAAAAATTAAAGTTCTATATAATTCTTTAATGAGAAAACTCTAGCAACTAAAAAAATATAATTTATAAAATTATATCTTCTTAATCGTTAGTTTTCTAATTAGTTAGAAAATTAGTGCACTTGTTGCTAGTAAAAAAGTAAATTGGAGAGATAAACTATGGAATTGTTACTCGAAGTTAAATATTTGATTCTATGAGAATATAATTAAAATCATTAAATATAGAAAATAAATTTTTGAAATCAAATTTTTATAGTATTTAACATGTCATAGTCGTGTAATTTTGAAATGTGTTACATATTTTTAAAAGCTAATTTGAAAAATATCGTTCTTATAAACACGTTGAAATTAAAAGTAATATTAGAAATACTTGAAATAATATAATGTTTTCAATAAATGTAATATTGATGTAATAACATGCATTAAATAACAAAAAATATTTTTTAAAGAATCAAATATAATAATTTAACCAAACAGTTATTTTAATTTGTTAATATACGTTTGAATATTTATAAATTTGGTATTATTTTGAATGAATTCACAACATATGTGAAGAAAATGCAAACTTGCAAACATCTTCTTAAAAGTGAAGCGATAACATATTTTCTCCGTGTTTTTTAATGAAAGTAAATGAAAAACGTACAATCGATCCTTATCGATTCTTATCTTATCTTGCATTTGCATAGAATTTCTTGTAATTATCTTTACGTATTATCATTAATGCTGCATTAATATTAGTACGTACAGAAACTTATGGATTAGGAGCCAGTTATTGATCATTGAATATGTTCAAGCGATATGAAAAATGATAAATTAGCGGACCTGCTTTTGGTAGCAACCAGTGAAGTCAGCAACCAGTTTGATTTTTTTCTTGTGAGCGATTTAACTTGATCGAGCTCTCCAAACCGCTCTGTTTTCTTTAAAATAAAATTAGCGATAAATTAATTCCACTTTTCACTCGTAGCAGAATCATGAACAGAAAGTTGTTTGCATGAATTTTATGGTAGCGATCTACATTTCTGTAATATCCAATAAAATATATTGCAAGAATCTCTATAACTTGAAATTAGTTTAATTGCACTTGCTGTTGGAAATTCTCTGCCCGAACACGATACAATTAAGACGGTACTCGTTGCAAATACCGGCGAATAGTAACGATTATCTCAACTATTTGGACGCAGAAGTTGCGGATTAGGTTTCCATTATTTCAAAAGTTGCCAGAACCATAGAGATACGGAGCGTTGCATTTCCTATCCCATGATGGCTGACAATGTCCCATCCCACTCCATCTGCGCGCAGCTCTCCCACAAAAGCAGCGGGTCCAGAAAGGACGAGAGCCTAGCCTAACCTAACCCTTACTTAAGCTCCCTTTTGCACTTGGCGGCCATGTTGCTCCGAGGGTTGGGCCATCAAAACGACGGCGACTCATTGGCCGCGAGACGAGGGAGAAAGAGTGAGAGCACTTCCATTTCTGTCTTACTCCATCGCTATGTCTCTCATTCCGTCTCCTTTCCTTGATGTTCTCTTTATTCAACACTCTCAATGGCATATCTCTCTGTCTTTCTCTCAGTTTTTCTCGCTCTAAACTCACGTCTTTTTCCCGTTCTTCATCTCATTCTGAATTTTGTTTCTATCCTTATCTTCCGCTCTTCTTCCCCTACGTCCCTTCTACCTCTATCTCTCTTCGTCGATCTTTTCGCCACGAGTAAAGTTAGGTTTATTTTTTATTATTTCTCATGTTTGTCGGACATGTTCAAAGTTATCCTCCGGCTATGCGACTCTTTGCGTTTCTTGCTGTGAGGCCACGTGAAATTTATTTCGCGAGTTCGATGTTCTAGATATCGCTACGTCTACGATGGAAAAGCGCCGCATTCGCGAGTGCTGACACAATACCTCATTTATACGAAAAAGAAGCTTAAATTATTTTTCTGGTCCATTTACATATTTCGTAATTTTTATCAAGTACGATTTATCTCGTTATGATTACCTGAATAACTAAAATATTTATTTTATTATTTTGTAGAATAAATTTAAAGACTACTTCATCTTTGCATTTCTTGCAACCACGATTGCTCGTTCATTATTTTGTAATAACTAAAAGTTTTATCTAAATTCTAATTTATTTGTTATTGTTTTGAGAAAATTGTTATAGAAAAATTTAGATATTGGTTTTGTTATATTCATTTTAATAAAAAATAATTTGTTTTACCTTAATGGAATAGAAACTACCGGAATGTACATATATATTGAGAATTATAAAGTATATGTGTATAATGTATTTAAATTAATATATTTAGTTCTTTAAATGTCTGTTAGATTAATATTTCTTGACAAAGTAGACATATTAAATTAACATTTCATAATCTTAACTATTTAAAAAAAAATATTATTAATATCACAAATAATTTTACGTGAAACTATATTTTATTAGAATTGAAAAGATTCCTAGACAAGTCGTATGTTCAAAATCGGAACATTTTAAAAATGTGTTAAAGATGTTCCACATGATGTCTAAAAGACATTTTAATGACATTTTTTAAATAAGACATCTTATGTTTTAATTTTTTTAAACATTTACATATTTTCTATATT